TATATATATATCTGTTACAATTAAAGTTTCTTTTACCTAAAGAATTTTTTTATAAGATCCTATTTAATAAAATTCACAATTTTAACAATATCCCTAGACGATTAGCAATTTTTCTTACATCCTTCATATCGTCTAATATAAGACGAACGATGCTTCACATAGTTTTTATCGAAGATTTAAAGAGATAAATAGTTATCTAATTAATGATCAGAGGGACGTGAAGGAGATAGAGGTACGTCATCGCAACAATGAAGGAGCGTAAGCTTCTCGTGTCAATGTACCTGTGGTAGCCATAGTGGGAGGGTCTCTCGACTCCTTAGAAACTTTTGGGCAAGTTCCCAACCGTCGGTATTCCGTGTCGATGCGAAACACCTCCTAATTGTTATCAGGCAAGAAACTTGTCTCGCGATAACAAGGGGAAGCTCTAGCTAGGGTGTTCCGCCAATAGGAAGAGGAAGGGTAGGGTAGGGATAAGAGAAGCAAAGTAGCAAGGAGCAAAAGGGGCTAGTGTATTCAAGATACTTGCCAGACCATAGAAAGTAGCCACCAAGTATCCCACGATTACTTGTACTTCGATAGATCGCATGACGTAACGCTAATTTCCGCCAGAAGAGAGACACACAACAATTATTAATAGTCCTCGAGAGCGTAATTACGGAATGTACAGAATAACCATTACCATCTAGAATTCGATCGCGCGTTTCCCTACCCCAAACGAATGAATTTCTATCCTGTATTAGCGACACACTGAGCTAGATCTAATGCAAGTACAATATTTTATTCTAATTTGAATAAAACATAAATATTGTTTCACGTAATTTGTTGTTTAACATACACACGTATACTTTAGATTATAATATATAGTTGTTATAGGTTAAAATATTTATGTCATGACAAAATAAATTAGAATACTTTTCCTAAAGATCAGACTTTCCTATTACTTTTCTATATTTTGTACCGTTAGAAAAACTTTGATGTATGGCCATGTAATTATTCGACACCTGGACTCTTCTCTCTTTCTCTCTTCGTTAGCTTGTTCCTACGCAGGGTGTTAGATGTTTTTTTTTTTACAACGCTTTGGCCCGTCCTATCGAGAGTACAAAAAAGTACGATACGTGGTGCAGGTCTACAGAAGCGTTTTCTGTGTATAAGGGCTGTCTAACGGCGGCCTCCAAAATGCTGAACCACCCCAAGCGGATGTAAGGGTGGCCCCGAAGGGTGCTTCCAAAGTAGGATGAGAGTTGTCGGGAGTTGGAGAAGGTAGAGATGGGTTCGAGCATGGATGAGAAGGGCTCGTGAGTGTGAGAAAGAGAAATAACGAAAGGAAAAAATAGAGTGAGACAGACGATATAGAAATAGAAAAAGAAAGAGAGTACATAAAAATAGAGAAAGCGAGAGAAAGAGAGTGAGACGGAAATGAGAACGATGTTAAAGAAAGAAAGAAAATAGAAAATGAGAGAAAAATAGAGAAAGAAGAGTAGTGAGATGGGAAAGAAGAGAGAAAGAAAGATAGACGTCAGAGAAGGGAAGGACAAAAAAAAGGGAAGGGTGAGTGGGTGGTTGGTTGGTTGGTTCGTGGAACGGGGTTAACTTCGCACGTGGTATTTCTACTGAACGAGGGTTGAGAGAAACATAGAAGGAAGGGAGAAAGAAAGAGAGAAAGGGAGAGAGAGAGAGAGATGAAAGCGTGATTGACGTGGGCCTCATCAGCATTTCGGTCTCGCGATTGGCTGGACGGACCTGTCAATCAGCCAGTATTCCACGCCTATTGAATGCATTTTGCGTTCCCGTTATCTGACACTCTTCGATTTTTAAGGGCTGATATATATATATATATATATATACACTATTTTGTATATAAATGTGTGTGAGTATACACATTATGTATTTCTATGTACAGAAACATGCATATCGACATTTCCATAGCGCAAAGACACATGAAATCGGTCGATCATGGTTGGACGCTTTGAATTTCTCTCTTGGGAACCAATACTACTATATATGGAATTTTAATGTTCGTTTAGCATTCTAATTGCTATCGGCATGACTTTAATCCCTTAAATTCCATTCCCGTTCTTTGCTCAGTTATTACCAACGATGTGATCAACACACCATGTGTAATATAATAATTATGCTGCGTATCCATTCGTACTTGTTTTCATATACGAAAAAGGGTATATTCATACTAATTGTTCAATTATCATTAATTTCTGGATAATGATTTAAGTTTTTTTATTAAGTCATTGATGAATAAACAATATTTTATTATAATCGAATGTGAATTGTTTTGTCATATATTTATCTTGAACATTTTTTTATAAATGTATTATTATTTTATCTTACAGAAAATTGAATCAAGTTGTAAATATTTTTAACGATAAAATAATCGAATGACAGTTGTCAATCAAAGTTTATGAAAGAAATTGCTGCTTTGTAATCACCGCTCGTCTTTCAACGAAAGAACGAAAATATCTGTTAGTATTTCATTCTTCTGCGAACAGGGTTGAGAGATGACATACACTAGCTAGGTGATAGTTGACACGTAGAACGTTGAGTGACAAGATCACGTGCAAGGTGCAATGGATAAGTCTAACCAAAATAGAGCTCGTATTTCTTAATATTGTCACTACTTTCTTATTATTTCTTAGCATATTATAACCAATTATTTAACGTATTCAAAGAATTTCACTATCTATCAATATTTTTATTGATTTAATTAAATTATTAAATTTTATTGTTAATATTGTTATAATTAATAATTTGGATAAAATTACAACAGACAATATCAAAAATAATAGAAGATAGGTTGAATTTCGATTGTTAGAAAAAAAAATTTCTTAAAATTACAATCGTGCAATAACATAGCACGATTCGTCACTCATCGTCGAAAGTAGTCTATTCGGGTTATGCTTTAAGTATTACTTTCAGTATCTCACCATATTTTTCTTTCACGAAACAAAAATATCTTCTGAGTTTATACTCGATAGAAGTGTAACGTTTGCGATTGTTCTTGGAATGAAAATAAAATAAAACATAAAAAAAAAAAATGGACACATATTCCAGAGAAGAGTATTTATTTTAAAACTTTCAAGTGTAGGATGAAGAGAAATATGAAAATAATTACGTCACGTTATAGAAGAAATAAGATTTTCCATAGGACGGAACAAATGGTACGACGATCTAGCGTCGTTGATCTTATTTATCTCATGGTGAAGGGTTCATACAAGGAAAACTTCATTTTGCTTCCGATGTTTAAGGATCAATGCCGAGGCATAATGACCGTCGGCAAAGGGAAAGCAAACGATGAAGCGTGCTGGAATAAGTAGTCCACACGCGACCAGAAAGAGAAAGAAAGAGAAAGAAAGAGAAAGAGAAAGAGAAAGAGAAAAAGAGAGAGAGAGAGAAAGAGAGAGTCTGAAATCTACCTGTCCTCCCTCAGAGTTCTTTCATTCCCCTCTCCCCCTCCACCTTTTCCTCTTATTCTTCGAGCAAGTTGTGTATAGACAGGTGGGAAGGGTCACATGATGGCCGTCTCGTGTAATTTGTCTTTTGTTTCCCCCGTGTTCGTGCCTTTAGCCGGAGGAAGAAAACTTGCGAAGGAAGAAGAATAAAGGGCGGAAAGAACTGGCTCGATCGAACGTTGTCCAGGAGAGGAACGATTTCTCTTTCTTTCTTTTTCTTTTTCTCGCTATCTATATCTCTATCCTTCTCTTTCTTTCTTTCTTTCTCTCTCTCTCTCTCTCTCTCTCTTTCTTCCTTTACGCGTGTCATTTTTTCTCTTTTTTTGATCTTTTCTCTTTCTTAATTCCGACATTGAGAACCGAGCGGTAAAGCGGTGATGTAAACGTATGAAAAATGAGTGACGAGAGTTCGAGACGTTGAAAAGGGCAGGCGGTTTCGTTTGTACTTTGGCCGGTTTAGAAACAGGTAGAAAATTTAATGAACCCAGAGTGTGGAGACTCTTTGGGTCTTGGTGATTGATACCACCCACACTACCTCCTCATCATTTTACTTTTCATTAAATTAGCAATTTTTTCGAATCATATCGCGATAACACATTTTCCAAATTTATTATCAGACGATCAAATATATTCACAAAGACAATTTGATATTTTTGTTCAGGTTCGTTAGAAACGAGCTCATCGATTTAGGAATATTTAATCGTATATTCTGTCATCGAAGTCAAAGTCGTTAGATTATATTAGCTATGAGAGGAAAATTGATAGTAAATTCGATTATAGTGTATTAGGTAATGTTGTTCGATAACGAGCGAAAAATAATTCATCGTGCAATGAGATAATACGTAATTCATGACTATTGGATAATTTGTGGCGTATAGATCGTCGAATGATTAAAGAAAGAAAGATAGTTACAGAAGAAAAAATAGAAGAAGAAGAAGAAGAAGAAGAAGAAGAAGGGAATCCCCGTAAACTATGGCTCATTACAGATTTATGCAAGGACGTAGACAAGGGCTTGTGGAAAGGTACACTCCATGAACTAAACGCACGGTTTTCAAGTAGGGAAGGGAGTCCAAGTGGAATGCCTGGCTAGCTAGCAAGCTAGCTAGCTGGCTGGTTAGATGGTTGGAAAGGCCTTCGATGCTTTGCTTTTGGTCTGGGGCCTCGTTGGTTTGTACGCTGCTCGGATACGAACGATAATCAATTAACGGTGAGCAAAACAAGAACCACGAGCTGAGCATCGACCGGAGGCCCGAGCTGCAAAATGTTTCGCACCTCTTCGTTCCACTTTGCCTTGGGAAGCCCATTTTGGCAATTCGAGTAGCTAGCTGCTCTAAACCCCCCTGATAAATCCATTGTCCGGAATAATTGATTTCTTTGTCATAGAGTTTAGTCGATCGATTCGAGATATTAAGCTACG